GAACGCATTTTCAGACGAGCATGAGACACTGCACAGATTGTTGAAGCCATCAGTCCTAATAGATGTTGTGCATGTCTTGCTGAGACTTTCGCATGTGGCTGGAACTTGCGAACTGCCCTTTTTATTTTCTTTATGTGTTCTGGTGGTAGAAACATGCGTTGAGTCTTGCTCCTATGTTGTCCACTACCTGAGATGGTATAAGGTGGAGCTTTTTGTAGCTGATTGAAAGGCCTAGGGCTTTTAGAGTGTTGAGAACAAATTTGGTGTCCTTGAGTACTCTTTTCTTTGAAGGGGAGATGATCAGCCAATCGTCTATAGACCCCTGAAGATGTAGATGAGCTGCCACAGGGGCCATACATTTTGTGAATGTCCGTGGAGTTGTTAACAGGCCGAAAGGAAGAGCGATGTATTGATAAATGGTGTTTTGGAAGATTAGACGGAGATATTTTCTGTGATTTGGATGAATGGTGATATGAAAGTAGGCGTCATTCAGATCCACTACAACAAACCAGTCTCCTTTCTTTAACAGGTGAATGATGGACTCCAGGGTGGCCATCCAGAAACGACGTGGATGAAGGTAAGTATTCAATTCCCTCAGATCCAGGATGGGTCTTATTCCCCTCTCCTTCTTGGGTACCGCAAAGTAACGGGTGTAAAAACCTCCTGCTATGTCCCGATTTGGTACTCTTTCAATGGCTTGTTTTTGAAGTAAGGTGAGAATCTCTTCTTCTAGAACAGGATCAAACTATGTAAGCTTGACCTGTCCTAGAGGACATAATTCTGTAAATTCCAGACAGTAACCGGATTATATAATGTTTAAGACCCAGGAGTCTTTTGTGATAGTTGACCAGTTTTGTAGAAACGGTGAAAGGCGAGTTGTGTGAGCTACTTCCAATGGTATTCTGATCAAGTCAAAGGTACTGTTTCGACTTCTTTCCTGCTGGTTTGTAGGACTGCCTACATTGAGTAGCCTGTTGTCTGAAACTGGAAGCAGAAGAGGAGGCCTGAGATGACCTAGTCTGACCCTGGTTCTTGAAAGGGCGGTAGGACTGAGAAGTAGACTGTTGGTAAGTCTGTTGAGGATACTTAGTGCGCCATTGGAATTTGCTATATCTAGGCTGTTGGTGTAAAATTTAGCTGTCTTTTTACTTTTGTGCATGTTTTCCAGATTGTCATCTGTTTTTCCATTGAAGAGACCCGAGGCATCAAAAGGTAAGTTTTCAATTCTGTTCTTAATGTCCTCTATAATATTTGAAGTTAATGTCCTCCATAATATTTGAAGACCTGAGCCAAGAATGTCTCCTCAAGGTAATGATTGAAGCAAGATTCTTGGCTGTGGCATCAGCTATGTGTCAAGATGCTAGTCTTTGATGCTTTGAAAGAGTGAGAGCCTTGGCATGCGTATTGATACACATTTGTTTAATGTCTTCAGGAGCGACTTCTAAGGCTGGCAGAATTCAGGACCATAATTGCCTCTGATAGGCACCCATGGCCACTAAATAGTTCGTGATGCACAGAACAAAGGTGGTAAGTGAATACATGCATTGTCCCAGTACTTCCAAATTCCTGCCTTCCCTGTTCGTGGGAGTAACATCCGCTTCACGATTGCAAAACGATGTTTTAATGGGCAAAATTCGCTTTACAACTATCGGTTCCATGCTTCGGGAACTGATTCTTCGCATTACGACGATCAAAACAGCTGATCGTCGGGTTTTCAAAATGGCCACCGGCTGTTCAAAATGGCTCCCCGCTGTGTTCAGGATGGATTTTTCACTGCATAAGCATCGGAAAATGGCCGCCCTATGGAGGATCTTTGCTGGACACTGAGGTATTTTGCTCATTGGAACACATTGAACCGGTTTTCAATGCATTTCAATGGGTTGTTTTTAACTTTTCGTTTGACAAGGATTTCGCTCTACAGCGATTTTGCTGGAACGGATTATCCTCATCAACTGAGGCACCACTGTACTTTCAACTTCCTGCCTTCCCTGTTCGTGGGAGTAACATGGCCTTTGGCAGGTGATTTAGAGGCACTAGATTCCACCACCAAGGAATTTGGTATAGGATGCTTGGTCAAGAAAGTGGTATCAGGATCATGGATGTGGTAGAGATTTTCAGTTCTACAGGATACTGGTATGGAATTAGCTGGTTGGGCCCAATATTCCTTGATAAGGTCCAGTAAAGCAGGTATGTACGCTAAACTCAAGGGGTGGATCTCTCTTGGTTAATATCCCCAAAAATGAGATCCTCTGTCGCTGGAGGTGATTGTTCAGTGTTCATCTTAAGAGTTTTAGCCATACGGGAGACCATCTGGATGTAGGATGAAAAGTCCTCAGATGGAGATGAAGGATGAGTATCTGCTGCATCAAACTCTAGAGGTTCACCTGCCACAGGTGTATCCGGTGAAGCTTCAGACATGATATCCTCCTCTTGCTCAGGCAAGCCTGAGGAGAGTAGTTGTTCTTGCTCAGGAGCAGGCAACTTTTTGGCAGCATGTCCTGTTTCCTTTTGAGAGGAATGTTCAAAGCCAGATGTTAATCCTTTCGAGGTCAGTTGCGGTCCCTCTTGATGAGCAATGGCAGCTCCACTCATATGGGCTTGACGAGATGGCCTCTGGCTCTCGATGTCGAGATGTCTTTGACGTCGATGCTTGCGAGGAAGGGATGCTGAAGAGGAAGGAGACAAGGAATAATCATAGCGACCTCTGCTCTTTTTCCTCCTGTAATCCTCCGACGTCGACGAGGACTCTGATGTATACTCCCATCTTCGACATCGACACCGAGACCTCTTATGGTCCTTGCTGTATCAGAATCAGATACGGGTTCATCCCTTCGACGTCGATGCTTTCTTTTCCTCTAGATGTCGAGGTCAGAGTCCTCATATCTGTGTTTATGTCGGTGTTGAGATTTCTTAGGCAAGACTACCACCTCTTGTCTAGAATGTGGACGTTGAGGAGGAGTCAAATACTTGGTCTTGGCTGACTTCTTTCGGGGTGGAGAATCTGAAACCAAGGATCTCGATGCCGATGAAGGAGTCTGAGATGCCCACCCGGTAAATACAGGGCTGTCCTGGTCCATAGCCGAACTAGCAATACTTCGAGCTAGTTGTCTAATTGGTAAAGACGTTCCCACCTCAGACAAAGATTCCCAGTCCCAGGAAGAATCTTCCAAAATAGGAGGGCACAGAAGCCAAAACTGGAGGAACAGTAAGAGATTGTTCCTTAGGCTTTGCCTTGGTCTTAGATGTCGACTTCTTTTGTTCCAGATCGCTGGCTGAACTAGAAGCAGATGAACCAGTACGTTGCATTTTAGTAGATGGTTCTTTCTTGGGTTTTTCCACAGCTTTGGCAGTTTGAAGAGGGGTTGGTGAGGCAACCCAAACCTGGGATCTAACAGTAGACGGAGTAGGAGTAGATTCCATCTCCGAGGGCTGGGAAGCAGAAAGCGTCTTGTCCCAGAGAAAAAACTTTAACCACTGCTGACATGCTTTCAAAGCTGCCTTAGTAATTTTTTTGCAGTGTTTACAGAGCTGGGGCTGATGGGTTTCCCCAAGGCAAAAAACACAAAGATTGTGTCCGTCAGAGAAAGGTAGCTTGCGGGAACAAGAGGAGCAGCGACTGAAGGGTCCGGACCGGGACATAAAGTGGCAATTATTGGAGGAAGTCCAATGATTAAGAGATAATAGGATTAGGAAAAGTGGTGCGTGCCACACAGCGGTAGGTAAATTGGGCAGGAAAGTCCAATCAACAAGTACTTGCAGTCAGAATGAATGGTCGTTCAATCCGAGGTCAGGGCAACAGATAGATGAAAACTCGAGAGGCAAGCCAAGTCAAAGTCCGAAATAGCCAGAAATAACAACACTAATAAAGAGCTCTAACGAGAGGTTCCAACATTCACGGCAGAAAAAATGGAACTGAGGTCTGAGGCGGGCGGAGCATGCGCTGTAGGGTCAAGCTAAACTTTGTTACTTTTCTCCTAAGCTTTAGAAGATTCTGAGAGGACCAGCGCAGGTGCTGTTTTAACCCATTTGTGTGCATTCACAGAGGTCACGATGAAGAACCAGACTATTTTTTGTCTTGTTGGACCAAAGACAATTTTCCATCCAGCAGGTCTCATGTATATGAAAAGCACAGATCTCACACAATCAACAGCTGAACTGTTTACGTGTTACCTATTTGACTTGCACTTCTCTGATTTTGATTCCAAAGCCTTACATTACAGTTAAGACTTCATAAAAACTAACTATAGAAACATTTAGTTTAAAAACAACAGAAATAGATGAAGGCAACATCATCAATACTCCTCAGTGCCCTCTTGGGAAATGAGCAGATGTGGATCTTCCAGTGGATATTAGAGTGACTTACTCTACCAAGCAGACCTATTCAACCAAGCAGCAAGGAAGGCACCAAGAAAAAGGAAAGAAAATAAGAGGAATGTCTGAGAATGTTCCAAAGTCACTCTGGCAGCAGATTAAAAAGAACTTCAGGGCTCAAACTGAGGTGCATTTCCCCATGTGTGGTTGGAGGACAGGGTGAGGTTTCTGCCGAAAGTGTTAAACTCCAGAATGTTCTGAAAGATCTGCACAGGGGTAGAACCCCATCTGTATTAGAGATCACAGAGGGGAACATGAGCTTCCAATGAACCACCTGTCTAAATGCAAACCCTGTGTATGTTGGAGTGGAAAACTACTATTTAACAAACATTTTGCATCAGCAGTACTGCTGCTCTTATTGGTAGACTTCTGCTAGATCATGAAAAGACAAATGATCACCAGAGGAAGAAAGCTTATTTTACCTGTCTTAAAGGAAGCTTGGACATCCAAGAACTCTCCAGAATAACTTTGCGCTGATTCCTTGGGGCATCTCTGACACACAGGTAGAGTTCCTGAGCATTCAACCCGCACATCTGACACACTCCATGCTCAATCTCAAAAACTTTAGTTCTCAGGTAGCTTTGGCTAGTGCGGAATAGGAAGTCATCCTGACATGTGTGAGAACAAAATCGGGTGTCCCAGGTGGCAGAGACGGGTGTTTGTTCAATCTGCACTGTTGGGTTTTGGCAACTGAGGCAAAGGGGGTTCCCTTCCTTATCCACAGCTTGCACATAGCCCTTCTCTGAATCAAGCTGCTCAGAGCTGGAAACTAGGCAATTCCCATCTTCTGGAGCCAACCTAAGATAATGATAAGCAGGCAGCATTTTACAATTCCTTTGAAAGGTAAACAATGGCTTATACATGCTACTGTATTTTTCCATTTATAAGACCCCCCCTTCTAACTCAAAATTTAAGAAAACTTAGCTTTGAGTATTCAGCCTCTGTGTTCTAATTGGTTTGTTCAGCATCAACTGAAGTCAGTTCAATAAGGCTCGTGATTAGAGGAAGCCAAGCCTCGTGACTGAAGGAAATCTGTTTATAGAGGCAAGGTCTGTTTACAGAGGCAAGGTATGCTCTCCTCAGCTATTTCAGCTTACTTCCATGTAAAAGATGCCCTTCAATTTTTAGTATAATGATTTTAGGAAAAAGTAGTATCTTATACATGGAAAAATACGGTATTTATTCTTTAATGTATTTATAGTCTGTCCTTCAGTTTCCAGGACACCTTACATAAGTGATAAAATTGAATTAAAACAGCAAGAGTTTCAGCAACGTAAGGCATCTAGAAGTTGATATTCTTAAACAGCATCTGTGAAAGTAATAAATTCTTTAAGGCACTGAAGAGACATTATAGTATCTGCCAGACAAGTCTGGAGAAAAGTATTACATGGTAAGAAAACTTCTGAATCAGCCTAAATATATGGCTGAAATCTTCTTCTTGTAACTATGATGACAGAAGGGTGATGATGTCACCAGCAGGGGAGGAATTTTGGTAATTAAAGACTTCCCCCTTCTATCCTCCAGCTTTTTTTGAATTGTGAATAGTTCCATCTCATGGAAGGAATGGGGACTATGGGACAGGAAAAGGAAGTCTTTCATTACTAAAAACCTTCCAATGTCCATAATATGATCTAGCAGTAGCAGAAATTTTCGGTAAAGAAAGATTTCCTCCTCCTGTCCGGGGGCTCCCCCATGATGAAAGTCATTATTTGCAAGTCAGAAAAGCCACAGGAGAGAATGGGGAACCCTTTCATTATTGAAAATCTCCTCGCGCCATCACTCTTCCACAGCTATGGCTATGCCAACAGGATTTCAGCCAAGATAGTCTTTTAATAAACACTGAAATAGATTATGGCACAAAATTAAAGGCAGCTAAACATGTTAAATTAGCTTTAGAGAAGGAAAAAAAGTTTATCTCCCAAAATGATCAGACATGTTCTAAGAAGCATTTGAATCAGTAACTATATGCTGAAGCATTTTAGTATGTTTCACACATTTATTTTATCCTCATATATCGCTTAACTTTTTAAAAAGTTGCTTCCATTCTTTCTATGGTCTATAAAAATTTAATTAGCTATTATGCAATAATAAATTGAAACGGAACCTTTTAATTATCTAGCTAACTGATATATTTATATTACACTCCCACAGCTAGAGATCTCTGGGTGATATAGAGATAGGAAAACAATATAAGCTATTATAGAACAGTTCATCACAATAAAATAAGGAACACAAATCCACAACTGACCAGGTCATGGAAAGCCATGGCTGCACCAAAAATTGGGCGAAGAAGAAATGATGCTAGTATCAGCACCCATCAGGGATTCAAGCAGATGGAATTTCTCAACTAGGAACCATTAAGTGCCCTGCCTTCTGACTTACTGGAGATGTCTTGTTATCAACTGCTGACCAACAGTGTGAAAGTGTGGGACTTTAAAGAGTGTTACACATATTTCACTTGTAAACATAACTGTTGCTGTTGTCATAGATTGTCAAGCTGCATCTAACTTATGGCAACCCTATGAATGATAAACATCCAGAAGTATGACAGTCATCAGCCCTGCTCAGCTCTCGCAAGCCCAAGGACACTGTTGTTTTTATTGAGTCAATCCATCTCTTATCTGGTCTTCCTCATTTTCTGTTGGTTTCCACTTTTCCCAACACGATTAGAAAAAGTTTCAATAACTGTGCTTATTTTAGGAATGAAACCACCTTAAAATCTAGAACGGACAAGAACAGTTGCAAAATAAAATCAGCAGCTCTGGTGCAACCACCTCGAAAAGCACAAACACAGGTTTAGAACTTAAAAAACAGAAAAACTCTGAGTGAATAAAAAGGTCTTCGCATGACATTCAAAAGACCACAACAGAGCTCCAAGGTGAGATTCATCCACGCAAGACACAGGCCACTGCAGAACCAGGGTGCCACTACAGAAAAAGCCACTTGCCTCTTTGTGTGATGGAGGCGCAGAAAGTGGCCCTTGCGTCCAGGAAGAGACTCTTCTCCACAGTGTACTTGGCTTCAGTTCACTTAGGTCAGTGGTTCCCAAGCTTGGTAATCCAGGTGCTCTCGAACTGCAACTCCCAGAGGCTTTTTACCACTAGCTGTGCTGGCTGAGGTTTCTTGGCACTGCAGTCCGAGAACCCCTGGTTTACCCAAGGTTGGGAACCACTGACTTAGGTGAATGGAAATCATGGGGCATTAATATTCCTATGTGCTCTTTCTTTTCACTGACCCAGCTAGACTTACTGTGCAGAATGTTCATTGCTTTCTCCAGTAGAAAGAGTGTGGGTTTTTAAGGCAACAGTAGAATTTTTGGTGATCCTGTGAACACTGCCTCCAATGTTTTCAGCTATTTTTAGTGAAGCTTTAGCGACATCCTCTTTTGTCATGTACCTAGAATGATATTAAACATTCCTTATAGCCTGTAAAGTCAGTCCAAAAACTGAAAAGCAAAATTCCTGAACAGATACCATTTGCAGTCTTTCTACATGCCATCTGGAAATCAGACCCCATTGAATAGCTCCCTTCTATCTTAAATAAATGGAATATGTAAAATGCTATGTTTTAAATGTGTTAATCACGTATTATAATAGTCTGAAAAGTGCAGGATGATGATTTACTGGTTTCTTTCTAAAGAATATAGGAATTCAGGAACTTCTATTTCTTTTAAGCAATTTTTTTCTGGCTAAGGCTGTTTCTGTCACTACTCTTCCACTTGTAGAACCATTTTATCAAGCCTGAATATAAAAGGTAAAATAAATGGCATATTTATTAACTACTGCTTCAAAGAGCATCCTCAGTAACAAGCGTGATATAGCAAAAAAGAATGCTGTCTGCTAACACTGTTTTGTATTTTCTATATGCCTCTCATATTTGATATGGAGCTGCTGACTAATAGAAGAGCAGAGGTAGCTTTAATGGCCATAAAACAAATTCCAGAATATATTTTGGGGTGATATTTTTTATCAGGGCAAACAAAAGTTCACATCTTGTTGTGCCTTTTTTCCATTTTGGACTTATAAAGGCCTCTCTCTGGTATGGATTTCAATGATTGATAATGGCCACTTATATGCCAGTCCATGAGACCTTACAAAGCACTGGAGCAATGAAAGTTAAGCAGCAACAGCATATTTAGAAAGTGTTTTAGTGTCTTAGGACCAGGGAGGGGCCAAGCTTGAGATGGAAATTTGCTACAAGAACCCAGAGTGCCCTCCCTCTTGGAAGGATTCTCGTTCTTTTCATAGTTCCACCATTAATCAATGTGTGGCAGGTGGACTTTTCCAGTCATTGTATCTGTGTGCCAAGAAAGAGAGTCACCTTCTCAACTTTGGCTTCAGATCCTAAACACAGAACCTAGGCCTTACATACTCCTTTTCTTTAAACAAAGCCTCATTTGTAACATCCTGATTGAGTCAGCTTCATTAGGCACAAAATACCTTCACACTCAATTTCTACTTTACTGTTGTTCCTGTGTAATAGATTCGTACTGAACAGGGATGAGGAATAACCAACGGCATCATGTATTTTTGATTTCTCTCCCCACTCCCACAGCTTTGCAATTTAAAGAGCTCTGCTTTGAGATGGCTGTTTGGCCCTTTCTGCCTCATGCTGTTGACATCAACCTGCACCAGACCTCTGGGCTTTCAGACAAGAAGTCTTCCCTGTTCCACTTGAAGATATCAGGGGTTGAACCTGAGACCTTCTGCATGCAAAGCCTGCGCAATACCACCAAGCTGTGGCTTCTTCTTCCTCCCCATCCCTGCACCAAAGCAGATGAGAGGCTCCTGTCACACACCGTTTAGTGCTATTGAGCTTGGCTTGTTGCTTTGACAACATCTCTTCAGCAGCAAGGATGGGACTAGAAAACTGCTGCCCACTTTTCTTGATAATTCTTTGCTTCATGGCTCCCAGAGCACTCCATTCTCTTACAAACCTCAGTATCTGGAAAGGGGAGGGTGGGACACAAAATGCAACAATTGGATATTACAACATACAAGAGTTTAGCTTGCAACATAGGACTAATGGATAAAAGCATTGTTTTGATACCAGACGTAATCGTTCAGCAATCTTTGATATCCATCAAGCTCAGGAGATGACCTACAATCACTCTCACTCAAACAACCTTTCCTCCATGGATTATTTTAAGGATGAACCTAATGGAAAAAAGCAAATCTATAAACTAAACTACAAGGAAAGTGAACCTAAGTGAACCATGGAAAGGTCTTCCCTGGCTGTAATTTAAATTTATTATCCATTGCTCCTGCTCTCTAGCACAACACAGACTTGTTTGCTAGTGGCAGGGAATACTAATAGGAAAGGAGGTGATAGCACCCTAAATGTAGTGACACACCCACAGGGCAGAGACCTTTCCCCTTCATCACACTACTCTAGAAGCTTCACTGGTTCATGCTAATCAATAATAGGAAAGGAGGTGATACCACCCTAAATGTAGTGACACACCCACAAGGCAGAGACCTTGTGAGGGCAGAACCTTTCCCCTTCATCACACTACTCTAGAAGCTTCACTGGTTCATGCTAATCAAGAGCTTGGGTGGGGGCTCCCACCAGCCATAGCCAGCATGGACAAGGAGGAAGTACAATGCGGGGCAGGAAAGGTTAGCGGAAAGTAGAGTCCAATAACATCTAATGGCTCACAGATTCCCTACATTTTTATATGCCCTGGGAGCTGCTTCTGCAGCTGCAGCATAGTGGTTGAGGGAATTAGGAGCTGGCAAGTTACAAATCTCATCTTAGCCACAAGCTCACAAAGTTGCCACATATAAGCCTCCCTCTCTCAGCCTAAGTCTTCCAACATGAATGATAGCAGCTATGGATGTATTTTACAGTTATTTTCTAAATGAATTTATTTCACGTATTTCTATCCTCCCTTTCTTATGTATCTTTCTAAATAAATGTACATGGTAATAGCTTTCAGAATGTTGTCTTTATCTGATAATGCATGTTCGTGTGACTGTATCTGAATGTCAATGTTTCTGAGTGCTATTTTTTCCTGCCTTATTTTGGTAGGGTTGAGGTAATCAAAGATCCTGGCAATATAATTTGTAATTCATCTCTTTAAGGGCCATATCTGCTTATATATATATAAAATTTGTCTATCTGGGAGTTAAGAACTAAATAAAATTCATTGAGCGCGATGTGTAGTTCATTCTTTAAGGGCCATATCTGCTTATAGGAAAACACGCCATCACCAGATATCCAGAGTTAAAACCACTGTCTTTTCAGGGAATGCAACTGCAATGAGAGGTGCTCTAGCAGCGTCTGAGTTTACCAGCTTAGGCATGAGAAGGATGAGGAACAAAACATTTATGGACGTGCTCAATGAATTTTATTTAGTTCTTAACTAAATTCAGATCTGCAAATGCCTAGCTAATAATTGAAAACCTGACATCAAGGCATTCTGTTAATTAACTGGCATTATTTATAGCTGCACTAAAAATCACCAAACTGATCTTACCAACGAACGGTTCTGTTTTTGTTGGAAACACTCTGGTAAATCTTCCCAGTTATCCAATTTTATATCCAATGGAATGAAGTTACAATTCAAGGGCTCTCCGTCCTAGATGAATTAAAAAATGTTCTTTTAATTTCACAATTCAAGAAGCCATTCAGTTCTCTGAAGGTTTCAAGGAGTTGTGCTGGCTTTGTTTTATTTTCTACCTCTCATTTATTTCAACCATGAATCAGTGCTGTTTCTTACAATAAACACAAGTACAATAAGTCAGCATTTCTCATTTCCCTCACTGCAGTTGCACTGTTTATCAGCATCCTGATTCACCAGTATCTTCATCCTAACCGGAAATGTTTAGGAATATTCCACATGACATTTAAGTTGGTGCACCAGCAGTTATCATTAGGTAAAGGATACTTGGATTTCTTGAACTACAAATCACATAGTTGTCCATTTTGGAAGCTCTTCGTAACAGACAATACAGACCGCCAAATCTGGCTCTCTTGAAGAAAGGCCTCAACTGAAAGGCTCTGAGGCTGAACGAGGGCTAGCTCTGTCTACTTTTTTCTTCAGAAAAAATCCTAGCTACTACTATGGCAGGAACAGGAAGCTTTTGGTACAACAAGGCCTAACTCAGCCTCAAAAGCCTTCCAGATAAGGCGTTCTCCCAGGTGAGCCAAATTAGGTGCCTGTAAAGTGTCTACATCAGGTAGAATGCCCACAATTATGGGATATTTACTCCAAGATACACAAAAATGCCATCCTTAGTTATCACCCTGCTGCAGGACATACACCATTTTAATCTATTCACAGAATATCTAGCAAGAGTAATGAAAAGCAACTTGTTTCAAATTGCATTGAAGCTACATTGACAAACAAAATTACCTGAAAAACCAGTAACTTATGCAAATGTTTAAATTCTCCAGAATTCTTCCTTAAATCACAATCTAGCCTGATGTGCTTGACAGCTTCATATTTAACAGATTTGTAACTGATCTTAATAAGAGTATCACTCCCCTGTGGATTTTGCATTTTGCTTTGTTCCTTTGGATCAAGATACCTTTTTTTCCCCAAGAAGAAAAAGTCAATATCCACAAGCTAAAAACCTAGCATTTTTAGTACGTTTCCCCACATAAGGAGTAGTTAAATTACAGATTAAATGATAAATATGTAACTAAGAATGCCTTAGAGGGTTCTTTTAAAAACTGGTCAATTCCATTTCAACATGACACCTCAAGCCAAGACTAATGCAGCCATTCTCAAGCTTTTCTTGGCCATGACCTTTTCAGGAGCTTTCTCAGGTTTTAGGGACCCCTCTCAAAAGAGGATTCAGCACAAAGCGATAAATAGAAAAACAGAATAGAAATGTTTTCAGCCTGTGGCCCCCTTCAAATGTGCCAGGGCACCCCAGGAGGCCACATGGCCCCTGTTGATAATGGCTGCTCTATGGGACACCCCCCCCCCAGCTTGTTGCCTACAAGCAGCAGATGGGAGCATACGAATGTTAAGGAACCACAAATCTTTGATTTGTGCTTTTTCTAGCATATCGTCTGAACTAAGAAAACATTGGTGCTCTGGTCTGTTTGTTCCTGACAAACCTAAGGTACAATATAAAAATAAACTGTAGGTTGTTCTTCTGACTTCCTGTGGGAAACACGGGCCAGAGTGTGCCTTCTGTGAGATTCAAATACAATATGTCCCATTCATAGATTAGGCCTTCCCACAGCAAGCAGGAGAGCCTGGCGGAAGCAGTATGGCAGCTTGTCTTGAATAAGACTTGAAGGCACATAGTCTCATCCCTTTTTCTCATGTCAGAAGTCTAAAAGGAAATAGCTGTGTTTACAAATCAGATTAACCTGGGATTCAATACTATACAGAAACGAGACTATGTGGCGCACAAGACACCAGCATTTCATCTCTCCCTGACTTCCTCCTTCCCTGTTGCTGACCAGAATAAGCCATGACTCTGTTTCACTGTGCTCACTGTGTTCCTGGATTGGAACATGGAATTCCATTTTAAAACAAATTCTAGCTTGTAAACAAGTGAGTTAAAAAGTCCTTGAATGGCAGATGGCCTGTACAGGAACTGGCAGGGGTTTCTTTTAAACCATGACTCCTGGTTTGCAACAGAACGGCAACCCAGGAATTGCACAAAGTGAAACAGAACCATGGTTTCTTTCTTCTAGCTATTTGTAGGGAGGAGAAGAGAAGAGGAGGGAGATGGACTTCAGCTTACAAAACTGTAAAAAAAAAAATAAATCCACAAAGTAATTCCAACAGTGGTTCCCTGTGGGAATTTTTTTTAAATGGTAATGGGTACATATAACGGGACAAAATCATGTTGGCGTAGTTACACTGCAGAGGTTACATGAGGTCATCAAAGGAAATATTTGATTTGGAAAGTGTCGTATTCCCTCATTTCAGTTTTCCAAGGCTCCTTAGGGCTCTCACTCGCCCCGGGGAAGCCTCCTGGGGACCCTGAGATGTGTGTGTAGGGGCCCTTGAAGAGTCAAGAATTGCTGCCAGATGGCTGGTGGTGGTGTCAATCCTGGCTGATTTTTCACTATCGAAGGTTCCCCACCATCCCAAGACTCCTCAAGACTTCTCTCGGGACAAAAAAGAGCCCTAGGAAATCTCAGAACTTGAAAAGATGGGGGAAAGGAAGCTTTAAATTCCTTCAAGTTAAACACTGCCAGTACACATAACACTGTCCATCTTCCGCAGCATAACTTTACGCAAGAGGATTTTGCCCAATGTGATGAAAGAATTAGGTCTAGGTCTGCATGTTTAGGAAATGGGCCGAAAACTCGCTAGAATTTTCTGATACAAGATACTTTGAGCCAACAGTGTCTTGTATCAGCAGAAAGATGCTCCTGTCTTTTTGTCACTGACCTCCCCACTTCCGGGTTCTTCACTGATCCCAACCCTTATATCACACCGTTCTAGAAGGACTCACAACCCTCAGGGAATGGTTTTCAGAGAGCAAAGGAGATGACAGTAAGAGAAAAGGAGCAAATTTTTCGCAAATAGAGAATTCCACTTGCGCCTCCTTGGATCCAAACCTGAGACAACGACCTACCTTTGTATAGACATGAATTCTATCAGAGTTCCTACTTGCGCAGAACAACAGGCCACAATACCCTGGAAGGGATCCTGAATCCTCTAAACGCTCTAAAAATAAAAATTAAGGGACTTGAGATGGACTTCCAACTAGTTCACTGTTACCCTGTGATAGCAGATTAGACAGCACACAAATGACACTCCCGCATGCTCAACATTACTTACCAGTCACCATCCTACTGTACCTCCTGATGGCTTATTTCATCTGTAAGTCAAGATGGCTCACTCAAATAACATAATGGCATTTGTGCAGGGCAGCTGAGTTGAACAAGCATGGGAAATGAAACATGACCAAAACGGTATCCAAGGCAACGGGTACCTACCTGGTCCTACTATTTCATCAACATCATTTGGGAGTGGTGGTGGGAACACATGCTTCTCTGCATTTAGAGGCCTTAGGCCAGCTCTTACAAGCTATTGCTAAAAGTACAACCACTCACAGATTAAATGTGGCTTCAGGTTTCCATTTAATGATGCCCAGCAGAAACAGACAGAAAGAATATATTTCAAACTGAAGAAACCTAGGTGAAAAATGCCTGTTCAGACAAGATTCTTTGGAATCCTAAGGAAACCATGAGGGCAGGATTATTTTTAGTACCAAGTGGAAGCAGGAAGATCAGTTCTTGGCAGCTGTTTCGTCACTTCTGAACTACTTTTCCCCATGAAGTCCTGCTCTTCCAAAGCATAGAAGGCGTCTCCATGTGGTTAATATGGAGTAATGCTTTCCACTAAATTGGGCAGTATACAAATAGCTGAGGTGAGTGAGTGATTGTTTAGCATGTTGAATAACAAAGGCTTATTTCAATTTTTCTCACTCAGTTATACATCTGGTCATAATCCTAACAATACTTTTGTTTTCATTTCATTTCTTAATTATTATTTTTTTGTTCCATCCAGCATTAGGGAAGTAGACATCTGCTTCTGTGATAGGATTTCCTTCTCTGGAAGATCCCAAAAAATCCAAGAGAGTTTCTGGAGGCCACATGAAGGGCTAATGCAGGTGAAGAGGAATTTGGTGGTAGACTGTTCACTGGCAGATATACACAGTCGGCTGCACCAAGTGTTCAATACTTGGGGAATTTACACACACACCGATTTATTGATCATGGAGACACACAATTAAAAATACTAATCAATACTAATCAATTTATAAAAGCCTATCTATATGCTTACACAACAGGATTCGTAACCATTCCTTCAAAAGGAAGTCAGCATTTCTTACCTTCTCCCAGTTTTGGTGTACAAGGATCTGGTTGTCTATTTCCAGCAAAATCAGCTTCTTCATTGGTTCCATCAGACATTCCACTCAGGCACCCATTTGGAAATTTCTGCGCAGACTTACTTCTTTTGTCTATCAGACTAATAGGATCTTCAGCTACATTTTCTTTCTTGCTCTCAGCAGAGACAGAGTCTATCTGATTTTTATTCTGTACAGCTATTTTAAAAAAAAGGGAGGAACAGGTTACTTACCCATAACTGTAGTTCTTCAAGTGGTCATCTGTAAATTCATACATGTGGTTATTTCTGCACCTGGGTGAAACTCACTGGAACATTCTAGAGCAGTGGTTCTTAACCTTTGTTACTCAGGTGTTTTTGAACTGCAACTCCCAGAAACCCCAGCCAGCAGAGCTGATGGTGAAGGCTTCTGGGAGTTGCAGTCCAAAAACATCTGAGTAACAAAGGTTAAGAACCAGTGTTCTAGAGCTCGAAGCAAAAAGACTGTTAGGGCAGCTGCCAACTCCACGGCACATGTCTCTGTGCCTAACAGTTATCCCTCAGTTCCCCATGTCCACCAATGTTCACGAGTGACCAGTAGTATGGCAGACTGAGGAGAGAATGGGCAGGTTGTGTGAATTCACAGATGACCACTCTAAGAACCACAAGCACAGGTAAGTAACCTGTTCTTCATTGCGGTCTCTGTGAATCACACATGTGGGTGACTTGCCAGCTGGTGGGATGTCACACCAACAAAGATGAAATGATCGCTCTCCCAAACAAAGCACTGAGTTTAGCACTGATGCCCAGCCTATAATGCCTGATGGATGTCAAAGGCTGCGACCATGTTGCTGCTTTGCAAATGTCTCTTAACTGTATCCTTTTGTGGAAGGCTGTGGAAGCTGCAACAGCTCTGGCCGAGCGTCCTTTCAAAGAGTCAGGGACTGGTCTCTTTGCTAGCTGGTAAGACAACTTGATTGTGTTCACAAGCAACTTTGATAACAGTTGGGGACTGATAGGTTCACCCATTTTGAACCTTGAGGGCTACCAAATAATCTGTTGGACTTTCGGTAATGTTTGGCTCTGGAGATGTAGAAGGCTAAGCTCTTCAGCCATCCAATGTATGAAGGGCTTTCTTGAATTCTGTTGTAGATGACAGAAGGAAAGTTGGAAGAATAAGAGGCTGATTGAAAGTCTGACACCACCTAGGTAAGAATGATGTGTCAGGAAAAATAGTGACCTTGTCCTTATGAAACTGTAGGAAAAGTGGGTCATATAGAACAGCGTACAACTCACTTGCACTACATGCTGGAGTGATGGTCACCAGGAAAGCTGTTTTGAAGGCAAGAAGTATCTGGGCCGCCGTAGCCATCAGCTCAAAGGGCAATTTCATAAGATGGTTAAGCACAAGAGAAAGCGATCATTGTCTGGAATGTGTGTGTGTCCCACACATGGACACTGGCAGAATGGAGGTTTGTTGAGAAAGGGACCCTATGGCCTGCAGAGGCAGCATTTGATTGTCTGGGAATGTCAGTTTCTAATAACGACTTTTGAAAGCTGATGATGGTGCTGGTAGGTTTGGGTTTGGTGTCCCTCACTGAAGTAATATGTATGTCTGTCATTGAGGGAAAATTTGCTGGCACAGACAACACACTTTTTGAAAGGGCCCACCAGGGCCATAGAAAGATGGGACGACTTCAGACGATGGACATAAAAGTAAGTTTAGAGGTATAAAATGGGGGAGGGGAAGGCTCTAGAAACATGTTCCAAAAAACTTCCTCAGCGGCAGCTAAAGCGAATTGAGGGATAATTGTTAGGTGCAGGGACATGTGCAATGGAGGAGAGCTGCCCTCATGGCCTTTTTGCTTTGAGTTCTAGAATGTTCTAACAAGTTTCATGCAGGCCCAGAAACACCCACCTGTGTGATTCCCAGAGACTACAACAAAGAACTGCAATTAGACCTCCTTCATATATCAAGAGATGAATAATACAACGCTGCTGACTGGAGTTATATTATCATAGTAAATCTTACACCCTATCCTCCTTACAAAATCTACCAGCTTATCCTGAAGAGAAGAACTATTCATTTAACCAATATGTCAAACAATTCTCAAAGGAGAAAGTAAAAGGCAAACCTCGGTATGTGCTCCCCTTCTAATTTAAAGAATAGTTCTGGGCATGATAATGCCATGCAAATATAAAGTTATACCCAGCAAGCTTTACACTTAGCTACTAAAGTAGAACTGTCATTTTATTTCGCTTTTGGAACTGTAGTCCCTGCCTAGATTAGGAAGTTTTGATCTAGACTTGGGAAAGGTGGAGCAGAAGCCTCCTCCATTATTTTGATTCAAGCTGGACATATTCTGCGTCTGTGACCACTGGAACTCTCCTCTAGTGTGCATTATGACCTCCTAACCTGATGTACCTTCATCTGGATATTCCTTCCAAAATTGTAAAACATGCCTCAGGCACCTACCACAGAAATACCGTTGGTAATGAATGAAGCTGTGTGTTAATTTTACCCCACTGTTTAAGCAAAGAGGAAAAATAATTACTATTCAGTCTACCTTTTTGCAGACATTTTAAAAACCTTTTAACATCTCTAACACCACATAACAGGAATTGAGTCATTGCCCTTATTTGCATAACTAAATTTAGACCTGGGTAGATAGGCTGATGCTAGTTGAGCCCAAGAAAACCAGGACCTTTTATCTCATCTCTCAACCCCATAAGCAAAAACCTTCCTTTTCCAGACGCGAAGCATCTTACAAAGCCGCCACAGATCCCACCTCAGTGCCTACACGATTTGAATATTTAAAGGGCATGCATAACTCTGACTTCGCATCTATTAAACATGCTCATTTAGCACTCATTTAGCACTAAGTGGCAGGTACTTCAGTTGATACAGCTTGAACACATGGTTCTAAATCTCGTTAGGAAAAAAGCATCACTTTCAAGGAAGAGATCTATAGGCTTTGACCCCCTTAAAGCGCCAGTTTTTCATTGGTACTAAAGTATTCATTGTAAAACAGTCCTCTACCAGTGTCAGGTTTGTGCATTAATTAGGACACTTGGTGACACTCTGTGCAGCAGTGGTTCCCAACCTTGGATCCCCAAATATTCTTAATAAAACTCCCAGAAGCTGTGCTGGTCAGGATTTCTGGGAATTGTAGTCCAAGAACATCTGGGGACCTAAGGCTGAGAACCACTGCTGTACAGGAGACATGTTATAAATACATGTACATATAAAATTCAGATTTTAGAAAATGCAGCTTTTTGTACTCACTGGAATATGGCAATAAAATGAGCGTTATATCTGAACTGTAAACTGTGGTTAATCTTAACTATGGCTTGTTGAAACAAGCTAAATTCCCAGGCTAGTTGGGATCTGGTTTGTATCAATAAACCATAATTAAGGCTAACCACTTCTGCAGTCAATGTAAAACAGAAGCAAATATTTCTGGTCTCCATGTTGTGGCCAAGCCATTGGAGAGAGGGGTATATCAGCTGAAGCTCATTTGTGTAATGCTAAACCATAGTTTAGAATTATTCCTGAATAAAGCTTTCATATCTAGAACACAACAGCAAAGGAAAGAAAAGAAAGTGTAAAATTATTTTTTTTAAAAAATCTCAGGGACATCAGTGGCTAAATCCAACAGTTCCAACCAAAACACCCCACTGACTGAACAATTATGCAAGTCCTAGCGATTCAATGGGTCTAGTTTAGATTTTTTTAAAAATGGTTTTAACTCAAGATATAAAGTATTTGGTGTGCCTTCAAAGTGAATTTCCAGGACATTTTTCTATCATGTGCCTAGGTAGGTGGATCAAGGGAAGTGACCAGAACGGGGGGTGGGGAAGGACAACTTGTTGGGAACTGTATATTATCCAAAGAGAATCTATACAAGGAGCTATGGGAACTGGACCACAGTAGAACTAGTTCCATTATGAAGCATTAAATTTACTTCTTGATGACATCAGAAACATCCACTGGCATACTACAATTTATGGCATATTACCTCTTTTGACCAAAGTAAACCTTTTAAGATTAATAGCTACTAGAAGAATATCTACAGATCTACTAAATGAATGTTCTTTAGAATATACCACATATGAAGTGCTTTTGAGTGCGATTTTTTAAAAAAGAGCATTAAAAAATTTTAAATTGTACCTTAAGAGCAGCATAGGGATTTACTTACTGTTTCTTTTCCGAGGAGATTCACATATTTCACAATAAGGCAGCAATGAATTATTACTGTAAGTGCAAAGACTGCAGTGCCAGACAGTTTCCGAAGTAGGTCTTTTGCTCAGATTAGATAATGGAGAACCAAAATCCCCCGGGGTAGTTTCTTTGGTGAACAAACAGTTTGTTTTTCTCGACAAAGATTTGTGTTCTTTCTTAGGAAAATGCCTTGGAGTTGATGGTTCTAAAGCTTTTGGTCTTTTCGATTCTCTACAAAATACATCTCTATCAGTTATTTCTGGGGCAAGGTCTGAAGATCCACCGTTCACCAAGTCTTCTTCTTTGAAGTCTTGACAAGATGTATCACCAGAATCCATTTTTCGTTTTCGTTCTGTATTAGGTTTCGGTGAAAAGAAAGCACGAATATCATGCTGCTTCTCCTTTTCAAACTAGGGCAGAGGAGAAAGAAACATAATTAACATAGGGAGATTTTTTTTTACTATATATACCTCTTCATGTCTTCTATTGCTTTTTTTTAAATACAGTATTTTGCAATTTTGATCCTTTAATAAATATTGACTTTTTTAAAAAAAATTAAAATGCATGCTGTGAAGAGACAATGGACATATTAAGAAGTGGCAGTAAGAGAAAGGGGGTGTCTGTGGACAGAGGCGGGCAGTGATACCTTTTTGAGGCTACAATATCACAAACATGAAATATCACAAACATGAGCTAGCTTTTGACTCTGCGTAAGTTGTCATCAAGGTGGGCACTACAGAGCAGGGGGTAGTGCAGAAGAAACATAAACGTTCCAAAAATCATGGCCAGATACGCAGGCTAAGTTTTGCAATTCAAAGCAAGTTCCAAAATGGCTGCAGAAATAGCTCAGAGATGGTAGATTGCAGGTTCTTGTTAAACAAAAGACTGTCAGTCACCTGCTACATTTAACCATGGATTTCGGAACATGTACATTTTTTTTCTGCCTGTTCTGTCATGCCTAACCCAGTGAAGTCTCACGCAGACTCAAAAGCTAGCTAACGTCTGTATTTTTTTAGTGGTCTAAGAAATGGCACCAACTAGCTTTAGCTTCAGATTGTTTATACAGACCACATAGACTTTTTCTCCTTTTCTAGAGATATATGTGGTTATTTTGAGAGGGAGAGGGAAAAATGAGGAGTTTTAGAAGAGATACAAGAATCACAGAAACTTTATGTTTGATACTTAGCCAGCCTATTTAAATTTTGTTCAAGGCTTGAAAATAAAGATTGAGTATGGTTATGTATTAGATTAGTTCTCTAATTTTTCAAAGTACTTTTTCTTAAATCAAGTGAAGCAATGATTCAGATTTGGCCAAATGCAGGTAATGCAAACATTTATACAATGACCTATGAACACATGTACTTCTGAGCCTGCATATTAGAACAGGAAGCCAAAGTACACTGAAAACAGAGCGCTAGTCTTAGAAATGGAGAAAAAAGTCTTTATCTGTGCATGCGTACATTGGTGAACAAGACCTCGTCCTTCATCTCACTTAGACTTTCATTTGGAATCCAAGCTTCTGCAAAATTGAGGAAATCCCATTTCTCTTTGTCACCTTCTTGAGTGTGCAATTTTTCTTTCTTGCCATTTAGCGTGGTGCCTGTAACTTTAGCCTGCATGTAGAAGAACGAATAAAAGATTTCATTTTGGAACACTTACTCCCTCACCGCCTAACACTACTTCCAGACTAGTTAATACAAAAAAACTAGCCAGTTTCTCTCCACTTTTGATTTCCACCTGCTGAAGAACTGATGTATTTTACTCCTAAGTGTGAAGACAGAGCTGGGTAACAGGTAAAGTTCATACTCCGCAAAATGGGGCTTCAACCATTGTTTGGGTCTTCAACCCATTCATCCACCTTAGGGACACTTTCAGGTGCAACAAAAAACCATTAAAAAAACTTACTGCTCCTACTTGAAGGCCTGCAGCCTCCTCTTCAGATCAAGATGGGATGTAGATTTCCGCATCAGTCAGTTTTCCCGCCTCCTCCTGTATGCCACCCACCCCACACTTTAAATTCACCACAGTGATATTTGTAGAGCGAGTTGCTAATTTGTTAAAACTAGCTTTTAGTAAAGCAGGCTCTGAAGAGATTTATGCAGAAGTGGTTGTTTTTATTTTATGAAGCGGTTGTTTTTATTCTTGTAAATTTAGGAATATATGCTGCAAAGCAAGAGCTACATGAATTAAAATAAAATTCGAGAGACCAAATTTTACTTAAAACTAATGTAAAACACCTAGAAGATCTAAAACAAGGCTAGATCTTTGCCTTGTTTTCAATGTGAAACCCATATCTTCAAAGGAGCCTTGTAAATAAGTGCACTAACATTATTAGCCTGCAACAACAGCAGCAGCAGCAGCAGCAACAGCAACAGCAGCAGCAGCAGCAGCAACAGCAACAGCAGCAGCAGCAGCAGCAACAGCAACAGCAGCAGCAGCAGCAGCAACAGCAACAGCAGCAGCAGCAGCAGCAACAGCAACAGCAGCAGCAACAACAACAACAACAACAATAATAATAATAATAATAAATTTTACTAGCCTGAAAAAAGAGTCTAATTTTTAAAAAACTACTATTAAGACAGTGAGCCGAAGAGAAATGATTCACTTTGTCCATGATAAGCCTAGAGTTAACTTCTGTACTGGTTTATGGAAACAGTCTGACCTTCTCTCCCATCAGCATGTCAGCTTGTAATCCATAAATCTAGATACACTGTAATAATATAGTAATTATCATGAATTATAATATAACAATATAACAGTCTTGCCACAAGTTTTTCTTTTTCTTCTTCTTTTGATAAATATAAGGCTGTTCTATTTCCACAAGACTCAAAGGAAGATTCATTCTGGTTGTAATTTAAGAAGCACAATAAATCCAAGTTTGAAATTCAATAAAGGTCAACTCAGTTGTGCTCCACTTGCCATGTTTATTTACCTATTGAAAGTGCTTTTACCCAGCTCTTCAGCTGAAAAAGAACTCCCAGAGTGGCATACCTAAGATCAATAAATCCTTGCCTTTGCATTATGACCTGCAAGATATAACACATAAACAAAAAAACAAAGGGAAGGAAGGTAGAAAACAAGGAACAGATGCATCCTTGTTTAGGGCCCAAAACACAAACATTTGCTCATTTCAACAGAATTTCAATTAAGACTGGCCCGAATCCTCTTGATAGTCATATAAAGTCTGTGCAACTAGCCACAACTAACTTATAAGGTACATATAAGTTACTGTGTTACTTGGCCTGCGGTGTAGATGATAACTTATAAGGTACAGTATGTGCGTGTCAGCCATATGCCTGGTTGCACACCCAGATGAGCTCCAGCACTCCATCAATTCACTGCAGCAAGTTACAGACATCTTATTTATTTGTTTATTTTAATTATTTATTTTAAATATTTTTTACTCTGCCTTTCTCCTAAAAAGGACTCAGGAGGCTGAAAGCAACAAAAATGAACAATACAAAAGCTAAAAGCAACACATTATTACAGTATTCAACAAATTTCGTATTAAAAGCAATACTAAAAACACATTAAAAGTAAACAAAAACAGAGTAGTCCCAATAAAAAAAAAATCTTGGACAGCCCGTCATTAAAGGAAAACCCTTCCTGAAGAGAAAGGGATCTGTCTTGCAGAAGGACAGCAAAGGATGTTGAAGTCCAAGCCAAGGCAACTTGAACACCACCCTCGAGACTAGCTCAGCCATCACAGGCAGAGAGAGTGTCAAACGGACGGGTGGGTGGCACACCAACAAAGCTGCTATTCCCTCCGGAGCTCTCATTTTCAGATTCAAACCTGGAAAACTGGGGGACAGGATACCTGATGAGGGGAATGGAACCACAAGAGACCACTGCAACGCCACCTTCCCGTCCCTGGTCTTGTCTGCTGCTGCACAGAAAATCCTGGTGGACAAAGCTAAGATTTACACCCACAACCTCATTCAACCAAGTGTCTGCAATGCGAGCCAGGTTGGCATGTTCATTCCGGATCAAGTCCTGGATGTCTGTTCTCTTCCCATTGACTGGCCTTATTGTGAATACTGATAGGAGTCCAGCCGTTGTCTTTTGACACACAATCTACGTCTTTCTTCCCAAAAATGGGTATTTCCATGATTATATTTATTTATTTATTTAATTTATATGCCGCCCACACTACCCAAAGGTCTCTGGGCGGCTTACAGCATTTAAAATACAATAAAGATATGTACAATTAAAATAAAATTAAAATACAATTAAAATTGCCATCAGACCCACAGCTAATATTATTTCAGTTAAAAGCCTTCTGGAACAGGAAGGTTTTGACCTGGCGCCGAAATGTCATCAGTGTCGGCGCCAGACGAATCTCAGTCGGGAGGGCATTTCATAGTCTGGGGGCAGCTGCCGAAAACGCCCTTTGTCTACAAGCCGTCCCTCTTACCTCCTTGAGGGACGGCTCTTTCAAAAGGGCCCCCTGGCTAGATCTTAACTGCCGGGTAGGCTCATATGGAACGAGGCGGTCCTTCAGGTATCCAGGGCCCAAGCCGTTTATAGAAGAAACCCAGGCAAAAAAATCAACTGAGGAAAGAGATGTCAGATTCTGGAAGACACAGCCGTCAGAAGGCAAGGAGATACCAAGAGAGGTATCCGAGATTGGTGGCAACGGCCACTACTGAGGTGGTTGAGCCTTACCTTCCGGTTCAGCATTGCCCACATAAGAGTGTCCATCGTTCCATTTGCAATAAGATAATGGATATTCACAGAACTGCACTGCCCAATCCGATGTGCTCTATCTTCTGCTTGTTTAATGTGTCCAGGATCCCAATACAATTCAGCAAAAACGACATGAGTAGCAGCCGTAAAAGTTAAACCCTAAATATAGAGAAGAAACAAAGGTATGCTTGATTATCTTTCTAAAAGGGATACATCGGGTAGACAACCAACTAAATCCTCAGACTGTTGCAGAGCTGCACAATCCAAATGGTTTGGAAGGTTCTTCATGGGCAGCGAGGTCCAGCCTGGGAAGCACAGATAGCAAAACGGTGAAGGTGTTTCGTTGCAATGCTAGAGAACACCACTCGGCTTTCGGTTTTGCTTCTCAAAGATTTTCCCATCTGGAAATAGTGACAGGCAGGGACAAGAAATTAGGACAAAACACATTTGCAGTTCCTTCCTTCTGACAACCTCTTAGGGACAGAAATGGGAGTTTCTGATGGGCCTCTGGGTGATTCAGATGCCTAATCATTCCACACGGCCTCCTACATACTACTGAAATATATCCACTTCCAAAGCCAAGACTTCCCAGCCTTGTTGGGCCACAATGGTACATCAAGCATCCTTTCTTTGGATAATAAGACCATGATACTTCCAGGTACCAACTCGATCCTTTATATTATCTAATACTGTTCTGGGGTCCTGAACAAAGGAGTTCTATGGGTTCTCTACTTGATCTGCTTTTGGAAATTCTTAGCTTGTTGCCGGTTTCCGCACACATACACACACCCAGTGACACTTGCCCACCAATCTCTTGTTATAGGCAAGGAAAGCTATTTTCATGCTGATATTGAAGATCCTTCTTAATGAACCTTCAATTATCGTTATATGCCAACCCGTTGCTTCCAATATATAGAAACCCAATGAATGGATTAATAATTTCCAAAAGAACCAATTATGAATAGCTCTGCTTAGATTTTCCACATCAAAGTCCATTGTTTCCTTAAGTAAGTCAATATATCTCATGTCATAGCTACTTCTTTCCTACTGCCAATTTTCCTAATATCATGTTTTTTTCCCCAGTGAGTCCTTTCTTAAAAAAGAGACTCAGTGGAAATTCTGTTACACAGTTAGGCAAATGATGTAACTTTTACAAGTGAATTGCTGTAAGTTAATAAACCTCTGGAGGCCCTGATTGCATGCTGAGTCATGCATCCACATTTAAGTTATGATGTGCAGAAGGAGTTCAGCCAACATGTTCAAAGCACAAGAACCTCAGTTCAGTCACTTTAGCTTCAAGTGCTTGATTTTTCCTAGAACCCACTTATTTGGCTTTCATGCAGTTCATGCTATCAATTTCTTCCTAGTCAACATGTTCTGTAGTCATTATTTTTGTCTTCTTAACATTCAGTTGTAACCCTGCTTTTCCATGTTCTATTTTAATTTTCCTTAATCATTCAAAGTCACTGCTTGAAATGACTTCAACAACCTGTTAATTATCTCAGTAAAAATATGTTTTGAAAAATCTCTGATTTTGGTTTTCTTTTCTTTTCTTCCCTCCTAGGTACATGACAAGGGTGAGGTACTAACTAGTCTGACGTTGGAAAGTATGGTCCTGAGTATTAATATCATTCAATATCAGGTTTCTGGGACAGTTCTTCTAGAATGGCAGCAGCTTGTCCTCTGACAGGATAGAGCCAGCACTGGGGTTCACAGAGTTCCCCCAGGACCCGAGCAAAATTTCTCCGGTCATTTGGGTTACAGAACAGCTTATCCCATAGACAAGGAGAAACAATTTGCAGACTTTGCAGAGACATGTCTCCTGAGCAAGGAGCATACCAAAGCAGGAATGTATCCTCACAGCAATAGCCACCAAATTATAGGAAATTGCTACCCATTGCAGACTGAGTTGGGAAAAATTAAAAATGAAAGCATTTGTGCAAAAACTTTACAAGTTGTTCATACTAGCATCTACTCCACAATGTCACTAAAAATAGGTCCAGGTGCTACAATTAGCTTAGAAAATAGAGAAGAAAAATGTTGAATAGCTTGGATCCTAAGTTGTTCCCATAAGCAGCAGAAGAGAATAGAAAGTTTTGCTGACTGCCCTTATCTCCCAATAGATCACTTCCCATGGCATTCCCATTATCAGAGAAATGTAGGATGGGAGTAGCTGGGAGAATTAGCAAGTATTACACCCTTGCTGCTTCCATCAACAGAGTGTCCTGTGAACATTCTGTTTTCCACAGTGTAGCTGTCAATTCACTGAACCTACTCTTCCATGTACCAGAAGGTAAAAAATTGTCAGTGGCTATACCAAGAAGTGTTCAAATGCTGCAAGCACTAATACTGGAAAAACTGAGAATGGAGTATATTTTCTTACCTGGCCAGCAGCCTGAATGCTCAAAATGGCCACTCTAGTATCTGGGTCCTTCTGAAACTGATTAACAAGATTTACTCTTTCTGCAGAAGGCACACTTCCATCTATACGAATGTATCGGACCTGTGATGTAAATAAAAAGACCCAACAAATAATCGCTTAAAGGGTGAATCTTTGGCTTTAAAACAAGTTAAATGACTAAAGAAGACGATCTCTTGATCCACCAGGATTTCTCCACCTTGGGAAGATTGGGGTCATCATGTCTGCTCTTCTCATTACAGATGGAGGTCACTGGCTAAAATGCCATCAGTGTACATTTATCTAATTTTATGACATAAAACAAGTACACCTGCTTTTCAGAGTAGTCCCCAAATCAATAAAACTGGGAAATTCCTGACCTCAGGCTTACCATCTAGGAAAATGAGAGGCAAAACATAAAAGAACAGAGGAACGGTGACAGAAAAGGAAAATGTGCTCCATCAATTCTTAATGTTGCAGGTTCTTCCAGTGATCATCTGTAATGATGAAAGGACCCAGGTGATGAGGGTCTCCCTTATGCAGATCAGCTGAAATGGATATAACTTACAGAGAGAAGGAGCCCAATGTTGTTGGTCTTTCAGCTGCTAACATGGAAAGGCCCTGCTTCCTGTCTCCCTTACAACCTGATGGATTGACAGCAGGTTAACAGTTGGAGGTCTAATGAGCCACCCTTTTCGGGAAGGCTGATAGTGGCTCATCTTTCCTTCTCCGCTCCCGCTGCATATGTACATCAACCTGACACAATGCAACTCTCCATTATGGGGATGTTCTAATATATCGCTCAACATACAAAGTGGAGGCTAAGATAAACAAGGGGTGACAAATATCATTATTATTTAAGTTAGATTTACTTGAGCTTTATTACACTAAAGTACAGAATAGAGAATTGTGCAAAAGGATTCACAGGTAACCTTAGAGAATAAAATGGAGTCAAAATTTCCTGAAGCTAAAGCTGTTACGTGTACAATATGAGTACGGCGCCCAAGATGCTATCAATGCAAACTTGTTAAATTGACTTCTAAGTCCTTTAACGAAAAGAAAAAGTGGGGAGGGGGGAGAAAAAAAGAGAAAGGAAAAGGCAAATGTGCAGGTTTATGGACTGATAATAAGATTCTTAAAGGTGGTGTAACCAAATAAAATTTCAGACAGACAGCTGTTTTGGTCTGTTCTGGGAGCAACAAAAACAAACCCTGAAGCATTTTCAGGACTAACAAATTTATTTCAGTGCAAGCTTCGGTAGATGATAGTCCACTTCTCCAGACAAATCAACCACTACATTTGGACCTTGGGCTCAAATGCAGTGCCTTTGAATATATATCTTATGGCTCAGATAATGTGTTTTATGTGTCTAAAAAGTGGATTGCAATTCGCAAAATTTTACACCAGAATAAGGAAAGTGGTCTTAAAGGTGCTTCAGTAGCTTAGTTTTTGTTATAACCCAATAAAAAGGATGCTTACCTTGCTCTCTATCACTGCTTCTGTACATGCCTGAAGCATACTTAAGTGATGAGCAAAGACTAGAAACTTCAATGTGTCATTCTCTAGGAGCATTTTTATGTAATCCTTCACTGCTCCAGCCTGAAACAAGCAAGGCATATTGGAATTTTGGTAAAAGAGAAAGGGAAACATTAAAGGACAAAACAATTTATGTGTTGATGTAAATAATAACACTGTGTCAATACAAAATGTTACATTTTCTGTTAAGAAAAGATCTATTAATGTGATTTGTGCTAATAAAAATCAATGGCTGAAATCTTGTTTATGCAGCTCGTGTCACAGAAGGCTGCTGCTGTCACCAGCTGCAGCATATATTTTTTTCAGAAACAAAGCATGATCAATTTCTTCTCTGAGGGTCCCAAGGCTCTTGCAGAACTCCTTTAATTGTCAGAAAGTTGGCAAGGGTGAGGAGGAGTTTCTAATTACTGAAAATTGCCTTTGCCAGGATTGGTGCTGCTGATTTTCGGTAACTAAAGATTCCATCCTGCATCCCATGGCCTCCAACAGTTCCCTGGCAATCAAAGGAACAGGAGCCTAAAGAAAGACCTTTGAGGGAGAAGTCAGAAATGTATTGTCTCCAAAAAGACTACTACACCTGATGATGCCATCAAGTGTTACCCCGATTCCCCAAAAATAAGACCTAACCTGAAAATAAGCCCTAGTATGATTTTTCAGGATGATCGTAATATAAACCCTACCCCCAAAATAAGCCCCAGTGAAGTGAAACCCTGCCCTCCACCATTGTGCAGCAACCAGAAGATGACAGGAATGTATTTGAATGTAGATGTAGAATGGTACATGGGAAAAAACATCTCCTGAAAATAAGCCCTATTTCAGAGTTCACTGCACAGATCGCACACTATTTCCAAGGATCGCAGATCTTCAGAATTAATTTGGTTTAAATTCCCCAGAGAGTTCCAGAAAAACATCTACTTCGCGTAACTGATGCAACAAGATTTCAGTAAATCTATGGCACCATATTATCCTTCAAGGATGCCTTATACAAGTGTATGTACGACAACACAGATGTGAGCTGAAGGCTTATCTGAAGGTGTCTTGTGCAAGCAAGGCATTCATTCATTCATTCATTCATTCATTCATTCATTCATTCATTCATTCATTCATTCATTCATTCATTCTATTTATATCCCGCCTATCT